CTTTTGTTTCCATTTGTTGGACCTGAGTAGTGGAACTTGTGGAAATTGCCTTTAACTACATAGCCTATGGTCTCCTTTATTGGGGAATTTGGAAACACAAGTTGTTCCTCCTCCCTATAAAAGTTTACATTTAACAAGATCCATTATGTGACCTCTGTGTACAACTACCTTAAGTGATTGCCACTGGGCATTTAAATATTAACTTGTTAATAACACAGATCTTGCAGCAACTTCAGATTGTATACTTGCATTAACATTTCTATGCAGATGAATTTAACCAGTGAAAGTCATCTTATATTGATATCCCATTGGGAGTGTGGCTGCCAGTGCAAATGTCTTGCCCTTGGGAAGAAGGCCCTGTTACTAATTTGCTGACTAAGGTATTGCAGAAACTGCTAAAAAGACATAAAAGGTTTATTGGAAAGTTGAGATTGCTACTATCTTAGGCCTAATAGCCATCACTACCACTGCAGCCATAGTGGTGCTGCGTTATAAGACTCTATTAAAACCTCTTTTGTGCAAGAATGACAAAAAGATTCTCACATAATGTAGGCTACTCAAGCTAGAGTAGATGATGAATTAAATGCCAACGTTGCTGAATTGCAACAAGCTGTGAAATGGTGGGGAGATTGAGCTTATGGATTTGCAAAACAAATGTTACTGAAATGTGATTGGAAGGTTCTGATTATTGTATTATATCCATACAACCAAAGCAAATACGAATGGAATTCAGAGATCATTTAAATAATGTAAAAAATAATGTAACATTAGACATTGAATTATTATGAAAAGAAACCCCTAATAAAACGATTAAAAAAATTTTTTAAAATACTTATATGTGCTGGGAAAAAAATTCATAGAAGCAGAAATTGGTCCATCTGTGCTGTGTGGTTCTGTAGATCCTGATTATTGGTGAGTAAAATTGAGGATGCTTTGCCTTGTACTTATTCTTTTGTGGTATCGTCTTATTTGGGGTTGTTCCTCGTTTGTTAACATAACGGGCTAAAGCAGTGTCATTGGAGTTTGCCTTCTCAAGAATTGCAGAGTTGTCCTGACAAAGATGGGCTCATTAGGGTATAGAGCAGTGGGAAAAAAAACAACTTTGAATCCTTTAGTGCTGATTTTATTTCTCAAATTGCTGAAAGAATGTCCAGCCCTGACCCTGGAGGTTGGTGGCCTGACACTGCATACGTTCACCTGCGATTGTGTTAATAACTGTCTTAATGATCACTCTCCTAGGAATCCAAACCCTATGGAGGAGATTGACTCATGTGGAAGCCAAACAAACAGCTCCTATCAATTTAACTTGAATAAAGAGTACAAAGGGAGGGGGGCAAATAACTTTAACTTAAAAAATGGAAAAGGGGGATTTGTGGGAGCAGATTGTCCAAAGATGGACTCTGAGAAAGGACTGCATACCAAAGTCTCTGAACGTGGAGATATTGGTGCTAAATTCTCTGAATGCAGAGAACCTGCAGCAGAACGCTGTCTCAGGCTTCTGAGTAACAGAGGGCATTAACAGGACAGTCTGAACCTCATTTCCCTCTTCAAGTAAAACAGGGCTATCACCTTCCAGGTTTAGGCAAAGCCCCTGGGAAGGAGCTCAACCCAAGGAGCTGAAGAGGCACTGGGATGGTCTGACCTTCAACTAAGACAAAGTAGACACTGTCTCTCCTGCTCCCTAGAAACTGCCAAAACACAGCATTCTGAAGGTGCTCAAGTTATACTCCCTATTTCTGGCTTTATCTTCCCCTCTGGATATTAGACTAATAGGCTGAAATATCTTGCTTTTTTTGTTTGCCTTCAGAAAATTGTCAACTAACCTTTCGTGTGGGAACTTGTCACAGGAGGCAGGGCACATGACAAAGACTGAACATAAACCTGCTTTGAATAAAACCTGGGCCTTGGAGTCTCTTCTCTGAGTGCCTCCTACTCCCCAACTTTGTCTTTTGCCTCATATCTCTTAACTTCTCAATTACGAATGTACCCCTCTTGTGCCTGGTCGATTTGTGAGCTGACTTTCACAGGCATTGGGTTGCTAACCTCAAGGTCCGTAGTTTAAAGAAACGAGGTTGTCCGTGCTCATAACAGTTTTCAGTCTTGGAAACGGCATATCATTATAGGGTTGCTGTGAGTTGGAATCCACACTGGCATTAGGTTCTGTGTGTTCTCACAGTACGTACGCTGAACTACCAAATAATATATGGGAAAACCATGAGTCATCTCTCCCCCAAGGAAATTACGTTCTGTGAGTGAAAAAACATACAACAAACTAGGCTTAGTGAGGGAAAAAAATGTGTTATATTTTATGTACCTGCGCACATGGAAAATTGGGAGTGATAGAATAAAATATTAGCAATATAGAAAATCTTCATTGTCTAAAGATAATCAGGCTAGAAAATTACCAAGGAAAAGTGAATCTATGTAATATAGGGACCAAAAGTTTGTTATAAAAAGTTTTAAGAATTCATTGGGACACATTCTTGAAAAAGCCTCGTCATGAAAATACGTTGGTTTTATAGTTAACAGAAGTGTAACTTTAAAGTGAATGGAGTCTTAAAATGAACAAAAAAGGTATAGATTAGGTTTCTGTGCTATAACTTTTGTAACAAAATTATATGACAGCATTACATAAAGCTTTTTAATCTAATTTTGGGATGTATTGGAAAAGTAATGGGATTTATCAATTTCCCAAGTTTCCCAAAGGTTGGTTATTTAATATTCCAGTTATTAGGTATTCCGATAAATTCTCTTGCTGTTCCTATTATAAAAGTTATCTTTGGTTAATCAGTTCAGATTTCTGCCAAATCCTCACCTTTCAGTAGTGAATTCAAAAGTTCTATGTCACTTTGATCAATTTCCTAAAATTTTGCCTCATAGTTGAGGTGAAAGTATGCATTATTATTCATCATAAAAGTTCATTATTGAATAGTTTAGGGTTCTGACAACTTTTGATTGTGCAACTTAGCAATTGTGGGGAATTACATAATGAATACTGGGATCATTAGGACTGACCCTGTAGTTATTTTGAGTGGTGAGATTTTTTTTAATTGATTTTAATTAATTCATTAATTGCTTATTGTATTTTCCTACACCAACTTATTACTACTATAATTCTTTAAAAATGGCAGCACAAAACAAGCTACTGGAAAATTAAATTGCAGTGTGATTTGGAAGAAAAGGCTGAGAGAGACATTTAGAATAAGTAAAAAGCATTTTAAAATAAGAGTGCCTTCTCATGTATGTGTGTGCTTCCCTCAGTGTGACCAGACTGATGACTTACAGGTGTTCAGAAAGGGACTGACACTGGAGAGAAGAGGTGGAGGAGAAATAGGACTATTTTAATATGTATTCATTAAGGAGCCCTGGTGGCCTAATCAAATTACACATTGGACTGCTAGCCACAAAATCCACAGTTTGACCTCACGAGCTGCTCTGTGGGAGAAAGATGAATCCTGCAAAGATTTATTCTTGGAAACCCCTAGGGAGCAGTTCCCTACCCTGTTCTGTGGAGTCAGAAGCAACTTAGTGGCAATGGGTTTGTGTGTGTGTAAAAATATGAAAATTGGCAGTGAATTTGATTTTGTATTTTTGTCTTTGTTTGTTTGATACTTAGGAAGAAACTAACCTACCTCACTGCCACCAGGAAATGGCGCACACAGTTGTAGAGGTGAATGAGTCCCAAGGCTGCGGACTAGATTTCACGTTGGAGGCTTCTCCTGACTCACATAGCGGCAGGGGCTCCAAAGTACTGCCCTTTCTGTGATAGAACTGTCTGACGTGATGAGCCTGCCCCAGCTTGCTGATTGATCGCCTCCCCCAGGAATGGTTCCTTAATCACAGACTCAGTGTTAATATCTGCTGCTGGCTGTAACTGCCAAGTCAGCCTTACTGAGTGGAACCCCATGTTGATGAACCCATGCAGAACCTGTCCTCCTGCTGTCATGACCACTTTGTTTTGATTTCATTGGGCAAAGACAGGAGTGGCTGGGGAAAGAAGTCGACTGACTTTCACAGAACATGTTCCTCTAGCCACTTGATTGTTTAATCCTCCTCTGCTGAGGTAACCTTTTGGTGAGAACTCCCATGAGACAGTTTCACTGTTTTTGGCCCATTCTTCTCCATACTTCTATGTCACCAGTTTTCTAGTCTAGGCTCCTTCTAAGTTCCTAACCGTACATCCATTCTTATGATAAGATTCTGGATTTGGTTTTCAACAGTATCAACTCTTTCCTTTACCACTTTACCTGTCTTAAGACCAACCATCCAGCTTCCCTTCTTGACAAAAGTGTGAAAAATGACGTAGACTCTGATGTGGATTGTACATGCAGAGCCTCCCTTCCCGCCACTAGAGACACTAAAGCTTATTTGTGGTCATTGGGAGTGGGAAGAGGGGAAAAGGGGAGTCATTATTTAGAGGATACTGAATTTCTGTTAATAGTGGTGGAGTGATTTGAAATAGTATAGTAAAAATGGTTATATAATATTAGCATAACCAGTATCACTCAATTACACGTGTAAAAATGGTTGAATTGCAAATGCTTTGTTTTATATATCACGTAAGTAATATGAAAATAAGTGTGAATATGTAGAGTTTGAGTAATTTATCCAAAACTCTTCTCTAACTTAAAGAATATATATTTTAAGAGGAGTATGTTAAATTAATATATATGTTTTCATTTAAATTTATGAACTTGAGAACAAATTGAAGATTTCCTATAGCTTACTATTGATTAGTATCTTTTTTACCTGTCTTCCACAGCCCAAATGTTCACATGTCGACACATGATCACAGACACAAATCTAACTTCCTCCTAAACCCAGGTGTAGCGATACAAGGCTTGTCAATTAAAATACTTAAACCTGGTGGGGGTAGGGGACAATAACAATGAGTACAAGAAGGAAGAAAATATTCTAAAATTGACTCTTCTTGATATGACTGAGCTGCTTGAAATGTTCGTTTCTTAAAATAAAATACTTTAAAATGCTTTCTGTTTCAGGAACAGCAACAATATTGGTACCGACAGCACCTGCTGAGTTTGCAGCAGAGGACAAAAGCGCGTTTGCCAGGACACAGAAAGGCTCCTGTTGTGGCAAAGGATGCCCCAGAGCCAGTAAAAGAAGTAGTTACAGGACCTGCTGCCAGTCAAGGAGCAGAACCCCCTTCGTCTGAGGAGCCCCCATTACCCCCCTCTAGTGAAGAAGTGCCACCTCCTCTCCCACCTGAGGAACCCCAGGTAACCATGTGCTTAAAAATTATATTTTATTAAAATGATTGACTTTCCTTGTT